TTAAAAAGAGATCAGTCTCCCCATCAAGCCTTCTGCACATGCAAAACCCTCTGAAAATTGAAACCAGTTCCTTGCAAGTTACTAATCCTAACAGAAATGTATTCAGGAAAAAACAATGTAAAGAAGAACAGATTACGGCTCGGCTCTGCCAAGGAAAGGTACAGTGGTTGCTCAGATAAAGAGCTGCACATAAACGACAATGAACCAAGCAGACCTGTTCCAAGCAAGGCACTGAGCCAGAAACATACTGTCCCCCATGTTGAAACAAACTCTTAGGAACAGCCTGGCTTTGCTTGTGAGCACGTATAGGACTGTTGCATCATACACAAAACGTGCATTCATAAACTTAGCTCATTCTGTGCTGTGACGTAATAGCCACATGCCAGCTGTGATAAATCATCAAAGAGTTTAATCTCCCACCAGTAAGACAGAACTTCAAACCTCAACTGGGCTCCTTCATTACAGCCCAGGAAATAGGACTAGCCATTGGCTGGCTACCTTTCATCACTTACTAGAATTCTTCTTCAGGAATATTTATGCAATGGTTAATACCAGTTCTCAGGCTCCCTTTAGTGACAATTTATTTCAGGGGAATTATTCCACCCTACTTTTGACATTCCCTGCAACAAAAATGACCCATAAAGAGAGCCCTAAAACCTAGAAATATTTGTGTAGTCATATAGCCCTCTTGCACAGTTCCGTGCTGTAGGTTTGGTTGCATAAATCCAAGAGGGAGTCATACAGACCTATGGGGGCTGAGTCTCATAGCCCTACAACGGGTGAAGCTAGTCACATCTGTGCAAAGTGGGTGTAAAATGCGTCAGTTTTCACTGGAGTCAGTAATTGCGCAAGGTTACAGTGATTCAGGCCTATGCTGTACTTGCCTAGAGCCCAGCTGCGGTGAGATGCAGCTGCCCAGCTCTCTGAGGCAGGTAACTAACTGCACTATTACAGTGCTGGAAAAGACCAAGGCAAAACATATTGCCGTTGCTTCCTTCCCGGAACTTAACTGGATTTATTCATAACAACTGTGCCATTGAAAACACAGCAAGAGTTGTCTCCTGGGCACACCAACTTCCACCTACTGTTCTCTCCCAGAGTGCAGGAAAATCCTTTGACTGGGTGGACCAAGCACGTTATTTGTGATGCTGCAAAAGACTGACAGATGCTCTGTTTCCTTAAATGGGCCCTGGTAATCAGATCTGAGCAGAGACTAGGTGGCTACGTCTACACTGGCATGATTTTCCGGAAATGCTTTTAACGGAAAACTTTTCCGTTAAAAGCATTTTTGGAAAAGCGCGTCTAGATGGACAGGATGCTTTTTTGCAAAAGCACTTTTTGTGGAAAAGCGTCCGTGGCCAATCTAGACGCGCTTTTCCGCAAAAAAGCCCCAATCGCCATTTTCGCGATCGGGGCTTTTTTGCGGAAAACAGTACTGTGCTGTCTACACTGGCCCTTTTGCACAAAAGTCTTTCGGAAAAAGACTTTTGCCCGAACGGGAGCAGCATAGTATTTCCGGAAAAGCACCGACAATCTTACAGGAGATCGTCAGTGCTTTTGCGGAAATTCAAGCAGCCAGTGTAGACAGCTGGCAAGTTTTTCCGGAAAAGCGGCTGATTTTCCGGAAAAACTTGCCATTCTAGACACAGCCAGTGTGTATTTGTGGTGCAGGAAGAGAGCAGGGGCCATGATCACTCTAGAAATTAACAATACAGGACTGACTCTCACTCTGCTTGTGAAAGTTATAACCTGCTGACGCAATTGCCCCCTTCTTGAACAGCCTGACGGCACCAACATTCACTGGCCTCTGACTCTTTATGGCCGACAAGGAATGTTTGTGCTCCCTGACAAAACACAGAGCACTTGCTGGAGTATGTAGCATAAGAACAACGCTGGCAGGGCTAATGCTGCAAAACAAGCCCCTCTGGTCTTCTAACCTCTCTGGCAGGCTGCATGTCATCATCCACCAATCGCTTTTCATTTAAATCACTCATTTATAAATAAATGGCCTTTTTCCTGATCAAGTTAAAGAGAATTTGGTGCCTCAAAAGGAAGACACTGATCTATTTACAAATCAGTCCACTTATATAGCATTTTCCTTGTATTTATCCTCTGCATTTTTGTGTGACGGGAAAGATTTACATGAAGACAGAAGCTTAAGCATGAATATTTTCCAGTTTACAGTCCAAAGCCTACACCCGCTGGAATTTGACACACAAAGCTTTTGAAGAATTCAATTAGTTCACATTTTCTTCCAGCTACTCCTTACTGGACCATTTGTGAACTGACATTTGTGGTCTTACAGCTCTCCCCTTTTGTGAAGCAGGTTTTCAATCATAGGAATGCTCACAACTGCGGGACCATGCTTTAAAAGACTTTGAGTGTCATTTGACGGGCGCAAACAAGAAATGGTTTTCTGAGCTGGCCAATCCGCTGCCCATCTCCTGAGCAAGAGAAAGGAAAGGGGCTTTCCTGGGAAAGAGGAAATGGATGCAAAGGGGAGGTGAAGGATACAATTTCCTTTTCTATCTGTGCAGTCTGGATATTTGCTCGCATGAGCGGCAAGGCCACACAACAGGTTTCAAAGTCAAGTCAGACCAGCCTTGAGAGAACAACATGCAATACGACTCATTTAATGCTTTGCACTATGTTTGGAAAAGATGTGGCATCCAGGTGCTTGCTCTCTTCGGAGCAATGCAGGAGGGGCGTCCATCAATACACTGGGTAATTCCTGTACTTCCCCCCGAGCCGCTTGGTCTTTCACTTTGCTACACCCTGGTTTCTGTTTTGTTGATCAAAACTACTTCATTTCCTCTCCCGGCTGCTTGACGGATTTAAACATCATTGGCAAAAAATAATTTGGGCACCGCAGTGGGCTTGGATTAGTAAAAATAGTGATGCTCCCGTTTACTAGCAGCTCTGTGTGGATGGCCCGGTCTCCATCCAGAACTCGTGGATTGCCACGGTGCTCCATGCCTGCAAAGGATTTTAACCGCGCTGGGCCGCTTATAGGGTTGGGGGCTGTTGATAACAGCAAGCAACCACTGTTTCTGCCAAGCACCACACACCTCTGATGCAGAGTAATGCATCTGGATTGGGGAGCAGGGCACTTTGTAGAGCGGTCTCATAAGGAGACAGGAAATAATAAACACATGGCAGAGTTTACAGAGCTGAAGGCAACAGGACAGTTTGGTGCTTTCCACTCTGAACTTGGATTTTACATAATGAGTTTAGCATCAATCCAGAGCCCCCACTCAGGCTGCTGTGAGGGAGGCGGCAGTCCTGCCCTTCAAACTGGGCTGTACCTTCCAGTCCTTAGAACAATTACAGCTTTGGCTCAGAAATGAGACATGGCCTCCCCTGCCCGCAACATCCACAGGAAAAGGGGGAGGAAGATCAGAAAAGGAGAGTCGCAGAAAGGCTGGAATGCCCCTGGAATCCACTTGAAACAGGGTGTAGTCTGCTGGGCCCTGTGCAAAGCAACTGCTTTGTGAAAACTACCCACCCCACACAGACAGGTCTCTGTTTGTCAGTTGTTTCCCTTACGTCACTCCGTCCAGGAAAGGAATGGGCCTATTCAGATAAACATTAATGTCTGAGCAAGCTGAACTCTCCCCCCCCCCCCCATTGATTTTGATGGGATCCCTTCTCACAGATTACGGTAGAGAATTCCAATGAATTCAATTGCTGGAGGTACTCCCTGTGCCAGGTGTATGTGTCTCCCCGCAGCAAGTGTTCCACTCAGCAACAGCCTGTGCATGAGGGAGCTGCAATTAGACCACCCTGCTGCTGGTGAACAGGATCTGTTGTTCCTGTGTTAGATCTACTGGAGTTTGGCTCTTCAGAACTAGGCTGTTAGGCCCGGCCCCGTGGCTACATTCAAAGGACGTAATTACACTCAGTCGCTGGTTCCCACTTTCTCTTTCTCCTTTGGCATCTGCACAGGAGCCTGCTGGAATTTCCCAAAGGAAGAGGGAGGTTTGGACTTGGTAGCATGGACTGCAGTGGGAGAAAAGATTCTCTTTCACGTCACCCTTTCCTCAGCACAGAGATGGAGAGTCCGGGCAGCTCGGGGAACACCTCCAAGAAGGCTTTCCTGTTTTAAAGGCAGAAGAAATCGGTAACAGCTGTGCCGCTCCTCAGCAAGGCCACTTTACTGGGACCAGTCAAGAGCTAACACACCCATTATGGGTGCAAGAGGGAAGAAATCTCACAAGGGGGCTGCTTCCTGAAACCGTTCCCATAACTCATCAGGACATGCTGGCTTTTCCTCTTCTCCAAACTGGGATCGCTTCTAAAATCAAATGGCCCAAATTCTGCTCTCAGAGTGGGGTAATTTCCTGCTGTCCACAGTGGATATACTCTGCACCTAGCCAGGGTTAAGTGCAAGCAATATCGGTCTCAACATCCTCGGTAATAGACTCAGGCCTTTCGTACCCATCCAGTCTCACAGTCCTGGACTTTAGGTGCGGCCTGTGCGTGGGTGGAAATTTCCATTAGGCAGCTCATTGTCTTTGGTTCACCTCTTGCACTGCCTGCAGCTGTTGGGACTACAGACAACTGGAGACAAAACAGAGTCTGCCAACATCCACTACTGGCTCATGATGACACCAGAAAAGGTGTATTCAGAGACAGTCAATTCTCACTGATTCATACCTACACTTCCAATCTAGCATTACACTGTGGCTGCTGACAAACCAGCTGTTCTTAAGAAGTCCTTGCCCCATCCTCTTTCCTGTAATAGCTGAGCAGTGGGACATTAAGGGGCAGAACTTAACAGCTGAGCTGTCACATCTGGTTTGATTAGATAGGGTTGAGCCTGTTGGGAAAAAAACCCAACCCCTAGACTCCACCACGTCCAAAAGGACTGCGTATTTGCTAAAATCCTTTTCTGTGGGCTGATCATCCCGTCTGGCAAAGATCTTACTCTCCAGAGTGCACATACAATCACACACTGCCTTCCTTGAGTGCTCAGCGCGAGACAAACCCTTTGTCCTGGGGGGAGTGCATCAGTCGTCGCTTTTATTGCACGGCTTTGTTTAAACTGCACAGACAAACCACCGAAGACGTCACCCACTGCATCAAAAGTACAAACAAATACCACTTCATCTTCTTCTGCAAAGGCAGAGCAGTGCGGGAGCCCCTAGCTGTCATGTCCACCTGGGCCCACATGCCAGAATAGCCCCAGCCCCAGACAGTCACCCCGCCAAGACCTCTGAAAATTCACTCGCGCATCTTGTTTCCAAAAGGAGTGGAGAGAGCTCTTGTGCAAGTCATTTTTTATCATGGGAGCAGGCAGGCACCTGCAGGCTTGGGGTAAATGCTGGGACAGGGCATCTTTGCATTCTCGCCTCTTATTTCATTTCCAACAGTCGGAAGCCTGCTGCTAAGGGCAAGTGCCACTAATTCTTCGGTGTGGAGGCCTAGCCAACAACTCCCTCAACAAGGGAGACAGGCAGAGAAGCATGAAGCTTTATTGGATACTTATCCCACCTGGCTTACAGGCATGGATTTCATCTTGGAATGCACCCAGAGGCCTCCATCCCTCCTTACAGTACAGACACCAGTCAGAGAGACAGCATAAGGGTGCTATTGACAGTCAAGACGAGGCAACTCTTCTGAAGATCATTTTCCAGTTAAATAGCCCATTGTGAGCTTACAGGCCATCATGCGGCTGCTGTCTTCCACCACTCTGGTACCGTACAGTCCCAGCTCAACATTGCCACAGTGGAAACAGAACTATAATCAACATTGACCCTACCCATTGCATTATCAACAGCATAAATCAGGCCAGTACCACCACCTACAATGATCTTTAGGGATGGGAAGGATGCAAACTTTTCCCCTTTGTCCCTCACAAATCTACCTACCACCTCTGATACAATGAAGTAGCTTCCCTTCAGTAACTAGAACGTGAGTCCAGTGAACTGGCCTCTAGCTTCTAGTAGAGTAAGAACCCAAGAACCCTACATCCCACAGCCTAAAGTGATGAAGGAGAAACTGCTAAACCCTCTGCCCTTGCACAGCCTGGCCTCAGCGTGCGTTGCCACTAAATATTTGGGGAGGCTGGGCCCTCTCAGGCCAAGGGATCAATGCACAATGCTAGAAGCACGTTTTCCAGTCCAAATCCATTGCTCTGACAGTTCTTTTTAGACCCAGAAAGAGAATGTTTGCCCCCCAAACAAACTAAGAAAGAATCAGGTGCAATAAGAGTCCTGCGGACCTTCTTCTGGAGAGAGAGCAGAGTCTGTTTTGGAAGAAGCTGTCTGGGCTTCAGTGACCCAGCACCTTCTTACGTGATGTCCTTCTGCCTTGGGGGCCGGTGAATGTTCCTCACCACGCATTTCACCATCCACTCGATTCCTTCATTCACCCCTTTGCTGAGGAGACAAGACAAAAGCAGAGTCATGGCTCCCGCCGTACCACACTGACTGTCCACCATGCTACATTAATTCTCTCTGTTCCCTGCCACCCTTCGTTTGGGTTACTGCACTGGCCTCTCACGCAGCGCAGGAACAGGATTCAGTTGAACCTATCAGATTTTAAAACTATGCCTCACTTTGGTTCCCAGCTGTTTATGCCTTTTAATTTGGATCTAGAACAGGGGACGTGAGCTGGACCCTAATCTGCTGGTAGGTAGGGGCTGTGTAGAAGTCTCACTCAAAGCATCACTTCACTCCATGTCCGGGGGAAGGGGTCACTCAATATCTGGCCAGCTCTAACTCCAGGTTTGCAAGCCTCCCAGACTCACCCGAGTCCAGGCTCTGCCAGGCTTCAACACAGTCTGAGTTCCCCTGTTAATTTTCCAAAAGTTCAACCCCCTGACTTAGAACCTAACGCGGGAAGAGAATTCCCCAGAGATCAAAGTGATCGCGCACAACTCTCTGAGCTAGGAAAGCTGTCTTTCACGTGGCTGTTGGCTCCCGCTGCTGCTCCAAACATTGACCTTGAGCTTCTGCTTGAATCCGTTCGCAGAAATTGCTTCTGTGCATGGATTACACCAGCGGTTCTCCTATTTGAGAAGGTTTTCTCCTGCTCTCTCTAGTATTACTGCTGTATGCCTGCAGGGCATTGCAGCTTTGCTACCAGCCAACCCAAGCTGGCGGGGCACACGCTTAATCACCCTGGATTCAGAGCCTGCACTGCGCTTTGGACAGGGTAGTCTTTTTTAACCAGTCCCACTGCTCCTTCACATGTATTCAGAGTAACACGTTTCACCCAAAGACTCCGAGCACTATGAAGAGTAGGTAGGGATTAGGGATGTGAAAGGTAAAACCAGTTAACCAGTAATGGGTGGGGGCTGGAGCAGCTCCCTGCTTACCGCGGGCTGCTCCAGCCCCACAAGGGGCCTGCCGTGGACAGGGTCTGCTCTGGCATCTGGAGCCAGGAGTCTCATAGGCGGGAGGCTGCTCTCGCTGGGCTGGAGTGATCCCCCGCCCAGATCCTGGTTCACTGGTTAACTAGCTAAAGGTTAGGTTAACCAGCGTTTAACCGATTAACCGGGATTTTACATCCCTAGGTTAATGACAGTAGGAGAAGTGCGTTTTTCAAGGCTCCTGTCATGAACAAGAGGAGTGCTAACCAGCACCTGGTGACTAAGGGGTTAACTCAGGTATCTAGCAAAGGTGTTAGCCAGGTCAGGGGGCCGGGAGAACCAACTGAGATAGAGGCTTGGAATGTGAATTGCGTAGAGATTCCCTGCCTGCTTTCTTTGTGTGGGAGAGTAACACCAGGAGTTGACAGACACAGAATGATTTAAACCCAGGCAAGTCTATCGTGCCCCCCCCCCCCCCCCCCCCCCCCCAAAAATAGATGAG